TTTCTTTTTGTTGTCTGTTGTTTTGTTTCCTTTGTGTAAAAGAAGGGAGGAACGACTTTCTGCTGTGGTTTCTGTTTTACTTTGTAATAAATATTACACACTAAAAGTTTAAGCATTAGAATTTTATCAAGTACATTTAATTAGTGAATTTAAAATTCTAGTGTACCTACCATTTGATCAATCTGGAAGGAGGGATGTCATTTGTTAAATGGACAATGCTTCATGAATAAAAGTCAGAATAAATTTTTTAGTCATGAACTTAGTAAAATATACACTAACAGAGCATTTATTTGGCAATAACGTAAACCATAATACTTTACTGGATAAAGTATTCTTTTTTTAAAGAGATAATGAAGAACTTGAATTATATTGTTCTAAAAATGTAATCTGTTAAATTATTGGGACTAAATTAATTTTTAGCTCACTTACTGATTAATCCCTTTAAAAAACCATATAGCTCCCAGGGCATGAACGGCATTAGAAAAATATTCAATATTCTTTCCACTTTCCTACAACTTCATATTAGCTCAGATTATAAAAAAATATGAAATATCTCAATATTATGAATTCTCACTTTGTGAATGTATTTTAATTGAATATGGCATGTAATGGTGGACATAGTTCAATAGTGATTAATTTTATAAAACATAATGTATGGGAATGTATGAAACAATATTAATAAAGTGTGATACACAATGTATATGATTTTAGTGTGATACACAATGTATATGATTTTGTATGAAAAGCAACATAAAAGAAAAATTTTATAATGTTTATACTTTTTAAAACCTATCCTTTCCCTACACCCTCTTTTCCCTTTTGATTACATTTTCTTTGAAATAATTGATATTGAGCCGTATACTGGAAATAGTAACTTGAGTAGGTTGAAGTAAAGCTTTTGCCTTCAGTTTTGTGTCTTCAAACATATAGAATGCCAAAGTGTATTGTTTGTCATTATTATTAACCTGATGTTAGAACGACTTGACAGTGTAAACATACCAGTGACTCCAGGTCAGCTAAAAGCACTGTTATTTTAATTATTGAAACATATAATCAACAACACAAGTTTCTTTTTATCACTGGTGTACAATATTGACTAGAAATTCTAGCAATTCTCAGCCCCCAGCGTTTATTGTTGTAGTTTTTGTATATTGTTAGGTGAAAACTGACTCATAGCTAACCCTTCAGTGGATTTTCAGAGGCAGTAAAACTCATGGGAGGAGACAGTCCATTTTTCAGCCATGGAGCAGCTAGTGGATTCGAACCACATGCCTTTAGAATGGAAATGCAGGTTCTAACAACTAGGCCACCAGAGCTTCCTTTGATTAATTTATATAGATATATAATTTTTTTTTATAAACCCCAACACAAGCTCTTTAATTTCTAATTAGAAGTTTCATTAAATTAGTGGTTAAAATTTAATTAACCCACCCTCAATTTTATTTCCAGTAATAATTTTAATATTTTCTAGAAGAATGAACTTATATAAAACTGTTGGTAGATGCCACCAAATCAGCTCTAACTCATGGCTATCCAATGCACAATAGGAAATCTGGGCTATCCTCACAATTTCATCTGTTCATAAACCCATCTTGTTGAACCCAGGATATCAAAATTGGAAAAAAAATCCCCCAAAAAAACTCAAACCAAAAAAACTCCCTCACTGATGTGAAGTCAGTCCTGAGACTGCTCATCTTTCTCCCTTGAAGCTTCTCAAGGATTTGAACCACAAGAGAGTTCAGCCTTTGGTTTAGCAGCACAACCTGCAATGGAACATAACACCAGAGCTCCTAAAAAACTAGTATTCTTTCTTCTAAATAGGGTTTCTAAGTACAGTGTAATTGTGGCAAGCTCTCCATCTGCAATGGCTAATTAGCCTCCAAGTCTTAAGTTTTAATTTGGCTGCATAGATTAGAAAAAGGGTTGACAATGTTAGAAAATCAACGTTTACATTAGGGGGAAGTCATGAGTCAAAGAACTGGAGCAATTATAGAAAATGGTTATTGCATGTTAAATGGAAGAGTAAAAGAACGAACAAATGGTTTTGAGATACACAGATATTTAGCTGAGGCACCATAACTTGGGCTATCTGCATTTGAAAGTTTATTGACTTTTCTCTCACATAATTGATAATTAATCTGTAGCATATAGAGAATCTTGACTTAGTCTAGTATTTGAAAGTTCAAAGAACTTTGCTAACCAGAGCCATTTGTCATTTTGAGAAAATATGTATTTCTAAAATGGTATAAAAACCAGGAAAGGCATTGGAGAGAAATTGAGGATAAAGTAGGAATAAAGACCACTATTGTGATTTTTCCTTTGCAAGCATTGTAAATAATGAAGACACTGACATGGAAGAACCAGAGATGCATTTGAAAGTAGAATATGAACGACTTTTGGATGATTCACCTTTGTTAGTCAGGAGTTGTTCATCACAAAAATAGCTCACTTTCGTAAAGCAATCTTTTCAAACTTTCGACTTTATTTACAATGATAATTTGCATATATTTATTACTTAGAAAATAATTTATACTTTCCCATTTTTTAGACAAAGAATAGGCCTGAGTGTCATGCCTTTTGCACAGCTTTTATCTTCAAAGAAAGTTCTTTGGGGATGAGAGGCAGGAGACATGGAGAAACTCCAGATCAACTTTACACATAGCTATGCTAATACTTATACTTTGCGTGACATACAATCCCCCCCCTTTTTTTTTAGTTTTCTTGTGATTAGAACATTTAGAATTTGTTCTAGAAGTCTATTAAGAATGAACAGACTGGATATTGTATATTTAGAAGAGCTACTAGTTTCTTAATCATAATATGAGGAAATCCCTTCTCTTATCAGGTGGAGGCAAACACAGATTTATTCTTTCCATCTTCCACTGTGAGCAAACCCAGGTCTTACATAACAGGGAGAAAAGATTTTATAGTTTAAACCAAAGTGAATGTGGCATTTTCACGAGCAAACAGTATTATTGTGAAGATGGGTGTAGATGACTCCAGAGACTCTTAGCAGGTTGAAAAATTACATCAGTGACGTTCCAGATGTACTTGGTCCTATACTGAATGGACAGTGACCAAGGTGAGCAGTTCCAATTTTTTCCATCCTGTGACTGGATGGTTTCCTATGCCATCATACTTTTCCCTAAGTTTATTAGAAATTCCTTCTATTAAAAGACCTGAGTTAATCTAATGGCGCCTACAAAAAAGTTCATAGAAAACTGTAGTAAATTGCAATAAATACATTGGTACCACAGGCTTAAGCTGTGGAGCTAAAAGTGAATACAGTAATAGTACTGTCACCCAGGAGAAAATTATTAGCAGAAAATAAATTTTGATGTCCCTACGCATCCTTTGCATTTACATGAAAGTGACCCCCATCATGAATATCCACCCAACTGACACCCTTTCATCCTGACTGATCTTGCCTCGATGCTCAAACTACCTGAATAGATGAACACAATCCTGAAATGGAGACCTTCAAACTGTTAATGAGTACTAGTATACCTACCATATTTTGCCAAAACCAAACCAAACGAACAAAAAGCAGTCAGTTTGCTGAGGTTGCCATTCCAGCAGCCACTGGGTACCTTTGACAAGTTGCAGTTAAGTACTCACAAGGTTTAATTAATTTTTGTTTTTTCTAACATCCTACTCACGCTACATCTCAATTTTTTCCTTCATTTATATTTATTTAAAAAATGTAAAAGATGTAAAAGATTTGGGAGAGGTAAAAATTGTTCAGTAATCAGGTATAAGTAGTATAAAAATACAAATGATGAGTTACTTCTCTTGCTTACAGGGGAAGGATTAACAGTTAATTGTGGAAATGTATCTGACTTACAGTAATTCTTTCAAACAAGGAGATACACAGGCAACACCAAGAAAATGGAAGAGAATACAGTTAATCCTAAATAGTGAAGACCTGGTGTTAACTCAGAAACAAACAAAAATCCCAACATAAAATACATTCTAATTATTTAGGAATAAATTATTTTTCATTTGATCTTTGTTTCATTTGCTCTACTAATTGTACTAATGGCTATGAAGCAATGTTAAACAATGTTTATTTTTTTAAACAAATTTGATTGCTGTTGCTTCCTACAAATTGTTGTTACATCATTGCTTCAGAGGAGGAGAATACAGTATTCTTTTATGAAAGGCATTTTAATGTAAACACTCTATGATTTCAGAGTCAGTAAACGGTCAAGAGGACCATCAAGCTAAAATTGTTTAGAGGATGGGCAGGTTTTATCTAGCTCTGCAGGACACTGATTATATAAAAATGGGTATCTTCTTGATGAGAAAGTGTTTCATCTGACGCACAAGGACAGAAGTTACCAGGGAAAAGAAAATGTTTTCCACAGAATCTAGCAACTATATAAAATTCTGATTTAAACGAAAATAAGTAGATGAATGGATATTCCCCACCATGTAAATTAGTCATCACTCTCTTATTGGACTCAAAGTTGGTGATAATGTATAAAAATGGTGATTAAAATATAACCTTATAAAAATGTTTCCCTTTTCCTTTATTCCCCGAGTTTACTATCTACAAAAAAATCTTTATATGTACAAGATAACTACTCATGACAAACATAATAATATGAAATAAAAATATTGTGAGTATCAACTTTTTAAATAGAGGTTTGGCTCACAGCATAAACAAGTGTAGATAAACAAACAAACTGGAAAAAAAAAAGAGAGAGACAAAACAAAACTCCTTTTCAATGATAGGGTCAATCTCAAAACATTCGGTCTATAATATTCCCTGCCAAGGAAGCATGGCAGTTGGCCAGATTGCAGTGAGAAAGTGACCCATCACACCCCATGTGGAATGCCAGAAGGGGTTATCAGAGGGAATCTTCACCCCACAAGCCAATCTTCAACAGCTGCCAAGAATCAGGTTCCACTAGATCATCATCAAAACACTAGGTGGAAATTCTCTCCCTCATCTCTAGCTAAATCTCTAATACTAGCTTCTATTTGCTTTTTTCTTGCCACATATTTTGCAGCAAATAAGAGTCAGAGGAGATGACTGTTAGTGTAATTACCCAGGACTTCTCCAACAACTTTTTTAGATCTAACCTGCTTAAAGGACTGGACTCTGGTCTTTATAAGAAGTGTTTATGTGTGAAGAAAGCCATTCCCTTAAATGGTGTTTTGATCTTGAGAGGCACACAGACCCAGAGACAAATAGTTCCTATACATTCACTAGGTGTGCAAAATGGAAAGATGCCTCTTCTTCAGATTTGAGGCTGGTCTTTGAGTGCCTCCAAGTGGTGCAGGGCAGTAGTATCAATTACGTGGCCCTCTCAACCAGCCCACTCTATTGGCAAGGGAACCTTTATTGAAGGTAAATGGAGGAGGCATCTGGAATAGCTGTCTCTCAAAGACAACCCAGAATGAAGGTCTTTCTGTTTGTTCACATGTACTGAGTCACTGACTACATTTAATTTAGGAATTACTAAAACTATAAAAATCTCTTTACATTCATACCAACACACATATACACAAGCACCCTCTCAATCATTGCTTTCACATACACATGTGCAAATGCACAAGTGTGCATGCACACACGCACACACACACACGGTATTGGCAGGATGTATCAGAATTCAAATAATAATGCTCTGGAACTTTCAGCCCTCAGAATTAAGAGCAAAAGCTGCTTACTAGCAGGTAACCTACATTTGCTGTACTTTCTCCTTGCTAAGCTGCACCATTTCCTTATGATTTGCTTTCTTTTATGATTTATTATATCACAGTGACCACTATATATTTTAATATGAATGATACTAAATTACAGGCCAGTAATCTGGCTTTCGGTGTTTGTGCATGTGTGCACGCGCGCGTGTGTGCGAATATGATTTACACGCATCTATGTGTGCACTTGTATACACACACACATATATGTATTTCCTCCAAAAAAAAAGAAAAATCTTAGAAGCTGGTGCTGCAATGTGAAAGCTTCTTTGAGCAGAAGTTTAAACAAGGTACTTCACTGTAAAAATGAACACAGAAAATGCAAAGAATTCAAATACATAATAGCCATTTGCCCATCTTCTCATATTTCTACAGTGTTGTGTCTTAAGCGTTGTGCTGGCTTGAAAAGAGCCTGTGACAAGTCAATCTGTTTGGAAACACAGCTTGTTCCACCTATTGTCACTGGTTTGGCTTTGGAGATGGGATCTCCTCTGCTCTTGGCTTTCCTTTCTCTTCCTCCTCTTCCCGGATGGCCTGGATCTGTTCTGAGCAGTGCTGCTGTGAGGACTGGTCCTTGGGCTGCTTCTCCAGGCCTGCCAACCGCTGCTCTTCTTCAATTACTTTTTTCCACATCTTGTGGTTCTGCAGGAGGTGCTCAGTTATTTGGCAGTAGATTTTCCTCCTTTTGAAAGTCTTCTTTCCTGGAAAATACAAAATTAGAATGCTTATTTGTGTACTGAGTAAATGAAAGGTATTTCTTTTTAGATTATTCGTAAGAGTTAAACACCAAATGGCCACATATGTGACACATATGGTTTGTATACTTTAAGAATGCAGTATTGTCAGTTTTCATTTCTTTATAGTAAAAGTTTACAAATCATATTGGTTTCTCACACATTTGTAGACATTTTGTTTTATAATATTTACTGCTATTGATTAATGAAATTAAGAATGTCATTTTTGAGAATAAAGAAACAAGAGGAAAACAACTTGGGATTTTATTGAGTATTAAAAAAACCTGTCATTGTTCAGCATTTAGTTGGAATCAGCCTGTAGCTGACACTCTGGTGGTTTTTAAGAGGCAGTAAATCTCACAGGAGAAGAATGCCCATCTTTTCAGCAGAGCAACTGGTGGATTTGAACCATGTGCCTGTGGGATTGCAGTATAGCTTTTTACCATTAGGCCTACAAAATCTGTCACACTGAAATAATTTTAACTCACTTTAGCCTCTTTCCCACTCCCATGTGCTTAAGAATAGAACTTCTCCAGGAGGGTTCTTAGATGGCTAAATCTTACTGTCTACTTTTGGTGACCTAGTGGTAAGAAGCTATGCTGAAATCCCGAAAGCATGTGGTTTAAATCTATAGCTGCTCCATGAGAGAAAGATAGGCAATCTTCTTCTGTGCAGTTAACTGCCCCTGAAAATCCATCAGAGCCTCAGCTATGGGTCAGTTCTGACTTGAGGGTACACAACAGCAACAACACAAACAACTAATTTCAGGCTAGTAAGGAATTTTATAAGCATAATTAAGTGTTCTGGGATTCTCATTCTTCTCAGAGTCAGCCAGTTTGTTATGATCCACATAGTCAAATGCATTTGCACAATCAATGAAACACAGATAGACATTCCTCTGGTACTCTCTGCTTTCAGCCAAGATCTAGCTAATATTAGCTATAATATCCCCAGTACACAGCCTCTTCTAAATCTAGCCTGCACTTCAGGCAGTTTTCTGTTGATGTGCTCTTTCAGTCATTTTTTTGGATAATCTTCAGCAGAATCTTGCTTGCATGTGATATTAATGATAGTGTTTCCACACTCTGTTGGTCACCTTTGGAATGGGAACAAATATAGACCTCTTCCAGTCATTTGGCCAGGTGGTTGTCCTCCAGATTTCTTGGTACAACTTGGTGAGCACACTCAGGACAGCATCTATTTGTTGAAATATGTTAATTGGTGTTCTGTCAATTCCTGGAGCCTTGTTTTTTGCCAGTTCTTTCTGAGCATCTTGAACGTCTTCCTTCATCAGCACAGGCTCTTGCTCATACGTTGTTTCGTGGAATTATTCTTTGTCTGTTAATTTTTTTGGGTACAATGACTCTGTATCCTCTTTCCACCTTCTTTTAATGCTTCCTGGATAATTTAATATTCTACCCAAAGCATCCTTAAGCATTGCAACATGAGGCTTGAATTTATTCTTCAGTTCCTTCAGCTTGAGAAATGCTGAGGCAGTCATCAGAACTGAGCAAGGAAACACTGCATGCTCCAAAACTGGGAAGGGTGTATGCCATGGATGTGTCCTATCCCCATACCTTTTCAATCAATATGTAGAACAGATTATCCAGGAGGCTGGGCTCTATGAGGAAAAATGTGGCATTGGAATTGGAGGGAGACTCATCAACAATCTGTGTTATGCAGATGACACAACCCTGCCTGCTGAAATTAAGCAGGACTTGAAATGCTTGCTGAAGAAGGTCAAGAACTTCAGCCTTCACTATGGATAGAAGCTCAACATCAAGAAATCTAAGATTCTTACTACTGGACTGATTAGCAGTATCATGATAGATAGTGAAGAGATTGAAATTGTTAATAGCTTTAGTTTGCTTGGCTCCACAATCAACACTCTTGGTATCAGCAGCCAGGAAATTAAAAGATTAATTGCATTGGGAAAGTCTGCTGTTAAAGACTTCTCCAAAGTATTGAAGAGAAACAATATCAGTCTGGAGATTAAGGTAGGCCTGATCCAGGCCAAAGTCTTTGCAATTATTTGATATTCATCAGAAAGCTGAACAATGATGACTAGGGATGGTAGGAGAATTGATGCCTTTTTGTTGTGGTGCTGGAGAAGAACACTGAATACATCATGGACTGATAAGAGAATAAAGTTTCATCTTGGAAAGAGTGAAACCAGGGTGCTCCTTGAAGGCAAGGATTCTGAAGCTTTGTCTGAAATACGTTGGACATGATGAAAGGATGGACCAGTCCTTGGGGAGGGACATCATGCTTGGCAGGTGGAGGGGCAGCATAAGAGAGAAAGACCGTCAATGAGATAGACTTATTCACTGGCTAGGATAATGGAGGTGGGTGTGTCAGAGACAATAAGATTGGCACAGGGTAGAGCAGGGTTCAGAGCTGTTGTACAAAGGGTCACTAAGAGTCGTAGGAGACTTGATGACACATAACAACAAGAAGGAATTGTATATTTGCTATTGCTATTGCTATGTGCAATAACTCTGGTGGCCTGGTGGTAAAGAGCTTTGCTACTGACTCAGAGGGATCTGGTTTGAATCCATCAACTGCTCTGTGAGAGAAAGATGGACAATTTCCTACAACCCGATTTACAGCCCCTGAAAATGTACTCGAAGGTCAATTATAAGTGGGTTCCAACTCTATGGAACATAACAAAAAAATATCAAGGTTATTTTAATCTTCATTGTCACTAAGCCAGACTGACTTACAGCTGACCCCCTAGCAGGCTTTCAGGGGTTGGATATTGTAGGAGATGCTCATATTTCTGCTGTGGAGTGGCTGTTGTACCACCAGAGAGGAACCCACATTTGAATTATCAGCATAATTCTCTACAGATTATGCCACAGAATATGAGACAGTCTTCACTTTTCAAAATGAGACTTAGTAATGATCAATAGGGTCCTTGTATTGCACACAAGGCTAACAGGCTCAACTACTAACTTTGTTTGTTGAATTGATTTCATCCCAAAAAATCTTGGAAAAAAATTTTAAAAAACATATTGATCTACTACCTTAAAAAAATAATTCATTAAAACTCCTATGAAGCATAGTTCTGCTCTGACACAAATGGGTTTATCATGAGTTGGAATTGATTCAGCAGTAATTTTTTAAAAAATATATAAAATATAAGACTTGGCTGTTATCTTGATATACTCCCATATGGAGCCTCTGGAAACTCTTTACCTAGAGTATTAGAATAATACATATATGGTTTTTTTACTTTGCTAACTTCTTCTACTCACACAAGTATTCAAGACTGATTCCCTTTAAAGTAAACTTTGATGTTAACTTGAAATTCTATTCAAAGTTCTCTAAAAACTGTCATAAATTAAGTTTTAAATCTTCTCATTTCTGTTATTATATGTCATCAAGTTGACTATCTCTCATAGCTACCCTATGCACAATAGCTCTCAACCTTATTCTATCCTGAGCTAAACTCACTGTCTCAGACACACGTACCCTCGTTATCCCAGTTACTAGCAACCCATATCATCCACGGTCTTCCTTTCTTGTGTGGTCCCTCAACTCTTCCAATCATGTTATCCTTCTCCAAGGACTGGTCCCCTTCTGGCCACATGCCCAAAGTATGTGAGACAGAGCCTCAAAATCCTTGCCTATAAGGAGCATCCTGGTTTCACTCTATCCAGGACAGATCTGTTTGTGTTCTTCACAGTCTATGGCATGTGCAATACTCTTCTCCAGCACCACAATGAAAAGGTATCACTTTTTCAATCATGTTTGGTCATTGACAAGCTGTTTGATGCACAGTAAGTAATTGCAAAGACCATGGCCTTGATCAGGCACACATTCGTCTCTTGACTGACATCATTGCTCTTCAGCATTCTGTCGAGGTCCCTGACAGCAGATTTTTCTAACGCAATTAGTCTTTTGATTTCCTGATTGCTAGTACCAAGACCGTAGACTTGTAGACTGTGACTGTGGACCTGAGCAAGTGGAAACCTGTTAGTAATCTCAATCTCTTCTCCATCTATAATGGTGTTGCCAATTGGCCCAATGGTGAGAATCTTTGTTTCTTGATGTTGAGTTTCAATCCATATTTAAGTAAATTCTTCAGGCCCTCTGCAATTCCAGCAAACAAAGTTATGTCATCTGCATAGTGCAGGTTGTTAATCAATCTTCCTCCAATCCTGATGCCACATTTCTCCTCATAAAGTCCAGCCTCTTGAATGATCACACACTCCTTTCCTGAATGTGAGTCATGCACTGTTTTCTTGCTCTGTTCTAAGGACTGCTTCCTGGTTCAGGTGTAGGTTTCACTAGAGCACAATTAGGTATTCTGGGATCCTCATTCATCTCAAGGTTAGCCATAATTTGTTGAGATTCACAGAGTCAAATGCCTTTGCGTAGTCAAGAAAACTCAGAATGACACTTCTCTGGAACTCTGCTTTTGGCCAAAATCCATTTGCTATTAGTCATGATGTCCCCAGTGCAACAGCTTCTTCTAAACCCAGCTTGTATTTCTAGTAGTTCTCTGTCTATATACTTTTCAGTCATTTCTGGATGATCTTCAGCAGGTTTTTTTGCTTGCGTGTGATTTTGTTTGATTTCCACACTCTGCTGAAGCACCTTTTTATTTGGAATGGGGATAAACATGGATTTCTCTGTTAGCTGGCCAGGTGGTTGTTCTCCATATTTATTGACACATCCAGAACTGCATCTATTTGTTGGAATACATCAATAGGTATGCCATCAATTCTGGGGGCCTTGTTTTTTGCTAATTCTTTCAGAGAGCTTGAACTTCCTCCTTTATCACCATTGGCTTTTTAGTTACACTTACCTTCTTTATTGTACATACGAACAACTCTTAGACTTTTAGTTACTACTAAGTGTTCTTTTCAGTCATTAAACATTCATGTTAATTTATAAAGATCCAGTTTGATTGCATGGTTTTTCTTTTCTAATAAATCCCTCTCTTCTAAAGATTCTTTCTA